ATGGCAGAGAGGAGGAAGATGAAGGAAGAGAGTTGAAGAGAAGCAGTACAAATACACCGAGCATTAGAAAAGGTTAAATATGACCTGCAGAAGCAAGCAAACCCAGAATCACCTTGACATTCAGTTATTACTACAAACTCAACTCAAACTTTTGTCCAGCGCACACAGAATTAAAACACACATCCCACACATGCCCAGAATAATCATCCAAATACAGATATGTACAAGTACCCATTATATACAATAAGTGATGAAATGTCACTTAGGAGAAAAGAGGAGAAGGAAAATAACAGTAAAGATGTCAGATTCATGCATCAGATTCAAACCCAGGGAGCAATAAGCATAGTCACACACACACACACACACACACACACACACACAAAGCAGTTTAAATATGATTTTTTAAGTCCTAAGAACAGATTCTTCAGTCTCCGAGTGTTCCTTTACGTTCCTCCACCTCCTTATATATCAGAATAACAACTCAAAGAATAGTTTTGTTGTCTTGAAAAGCAAGAAGACCATTTAATTCTTCAATTCAGTGTATATCAGGGACACTAACACATACAAATATCTGTCAAAATAAAGTGCAGTCAGGTATAGCTGTTTTGTAATATGGTCTCCCACAGCTATGGGTGCCATTACAGCGCAGTATTATTTAGCCTTGATCTAATTTAGAAGCCTTTCTCTTGACCTAATTTATACTGATGACAGCCCAGATACTAAAGACCGAGACCGGGGAGATTCTTTAGTGCCTTCCCAAACTCTATTAGAGCCAATGACCATCTGTACTTATTATCCCATCCTATGCAACAGTTACATAATAAAAGCGCTAGTTAAGATTTACTGGGCTCATTAAAGAGATAAACCACTCCATCTCTGGTCTTTTCTCTGAAAACTCCTTTACTTCAATGTCACTGTGCGGTTTCATTTCTAAACATTTTATTTTGATAACTAGGCTGCAGCTCTCAGCTAGAAGCCGCAATGTAAAGAATTATTTCCACTGCAAATTTTGCTAATTCATTCCAAGAGGCAAGAAGGATGGAAAGAGTTGGAAATTAAACATGACGCAAGTTAGTGAAATCCCAGTTTTAAGTCTGAGATTCCCATCCAGCAAGGAAGGCTCCTACTAAATAACATAACCTTTGACCATCGCAAATCAAAAGGTTTCTATTTCCCAATTTTCCCTCGTGTTTATTGTTTTACACTCGACCAGTGTGCTTTAATACCTTCTCTGGTAACACTGGATGTTTTTGTCTTGCTGATGCCACAAATATCAAGGACTAGAAAAAACATGTTTAAGGTTAGCTTATTTCAGTAAAGCAGCTTTCCTTGGGCACTTTAAGCTTTCATCCAAACTCTGTCCCCATGAAAAAGCCCCTCCTGAAAGTTACAAACCTTGAAATATCCCAACAAAGAACCTCAGACATATCAGCACACATCATTCACCATCCCACCCCACCAAGGTCCCAGTGCCAGTGGACAAACACAAGCATGTTCCATGGGGTGGGGGTGGAGTCGAGGCAGGGCAGGGCAGGGCTAGGTGCATAGGTAGAGAACACTGTACAGTACCTGACCAACTGGTTGTAGATAAAGAGCCTGAATTTAGGGTGAAGGTTGGGAAGACAGACACTGAGGGAGGCCCAGTGATGGGCCGTGAACACAGAGAAGAAGCAGTGGACAGGAGAACAGTGTCTACAACACACAAGCACGCAGAGACAAAGTCAAAAGAGCCACACGAACGAGGATACGTTTACAGCGCACACGCAGACACACGTACGCAATGTAAAGAAAACAGAACAAGACGCAGAGGAAAGAGACAAGCAGAGAGAAAGGGAGAGAGTGAGATGAGAAAATGTCGTTTTATCGCACCCGAGGTGTCAAAGCTGTTACGTTTAAAGCACTTCTTCTCATGTAACAATCCTTTTATCAACATTTGACTCCGTGTGTGTGTTAAGGTAACCTCGGAGGTTTGTCAGGATGTCATTACAGGCTAACCTGCTTACTGAGGCAGTTATGACAAACTAATCTGTAACTATGACAGTCAAACTAATTAGTGTTGGTTAACACCATCAGGTGAAGTTGTTACTGGGTATTTTTGGGCTGTAAAGGTGCAATTGATTTTGCCATTGTTAACAAAACAGCAGATTTGGAGAACAACGGGGAAAAGGTCGTCTAAATGATCCGATTATATTGTTCTATATTACCTGCCTGAAGCCTATAACATTATACAACAAAACCACAGTAAAACCGCTCAGATATTTTTTGTTGTAAGCATTTATTTGAAGAATCGAAGCCCTAAAATTGCTGAAAAAAGGGGTAATGGAAGGCTGGTCTGTCACTACGCAAATTATAAATCCCAGAACAATTCACACTTGTTTGTCCCAACTAGATTTGAGAGGCTCTGCAGTCAGCTGACCAAAGCTGGTGACCAAGTTTAAAGCTTTAGGTGACCTACAGCTACTGCAAGCCCATGGCCAATCTGAGAGTCATTGGGTGTAATAAACTTTATGGAATACACGGCATACATATAACTGAATGTTGCAGTGCAGGTTAAACGGTACTGTAAATATTTAGGGTGTTTGATTATTGTCTGATGTTCTTTCTTTCTTTCAAACATATCAGTAGGAGAGCTTTTTACAAAGTAGCTTATCTAAATCGAAACGCAAAGATGTACTGAGGGAGTGTGTGGCTACTCGTCTAAGCTAAAGAGACGAGCACTTTAAAACAGCAAGAGAAGCACGGCGAGCAGCAAGAGAAAGACGCCACACTGTTTCAATTAGTGCTAGATAAGGTCTCCCACAGTAAATGTACATCTCTGCTTTGTATCCTGTCAAACTAGAATTAAAAAGAAGACATTTCTAGACTACGATACCTTTTCTTTTTAATGAAGCTATGCTATCCAAGAACATAGCACTAATGGAGGGATGTCTTTGCAGCCACGTACTAAAAGCAATGCAGATTTTAATCAAAGTAAAACTAAAGTTAAGTTGAAAAATAAATGAATACATGAATTCTTATCATTCAGTGGGAGGCTTGTCAATAAGGAGACAGCCCAGTTAATCCATGAAGATTCAATTAAAGTCCTTACTTTTCATCCATGTGAGAGCGCATCTTCTTGAGCTTCTGCATGATGCTGCTGGTCTCACTTCCAGAGACGGAGAGTGAGGGAGAGGGGCTGCGGTTATCATCGGCATGCCTCATATCTGGTGAGGCTGGCTCAGACCCTGGGGTTTCTGACACCGGGGTCTCCTAGAGGATGATCGACACATGCAGAAAGATTGAGAATTAATAAGGGAAATGAGCACACAACATGTCTGGTTAAATGTACGCTTTTTTCCTGTGTTTATTCAAGACTACCTGTCACGAACAAAGCATGAACTGAACTGAAATGGCCTTAATTCGCTGGTTCTTCTACAGCAGCTGATAAATGACTGAGCTACTTACAGGAGGCGCTTCAATCCCAGCACACTTGAGACGTTCCTTCAGCCTGAGTGTTGAGTTTCTCATCCGTTCAATCTCCTCCTGCTGTTTCAGCAACAGCTGCCTTTCCTTCCTCGCAGCTTTGTTGGCCTCCTGAAGCCGCCTGATCTCAGCCTGAGAAAATGAGCACAGTGAGAGAGAACACTGCTTAGTAGCAAAAGTTAACACCGCAGCATTCGGTGAAGCTCCCTCAATGTAACCGTGCTTTTGCCATCCACAGTACCTGCTCCTGCTGTAGCTTTAAGAGAAGGCCTCTCTGCTTCTTCCTGATTGGTGGCATTTTGTCATCCTCTCCCTTATCTCTCAGCTTCTTCTTCAGGTGCTCCAGCCAGGCCAGCTCTGTTCTGGTCTTCTCCTTGAGCGCTTTCTGGCGAAGACGCAGCAGAGAGCTCTGGTGCTGCAGTCTCACCTCCTCATCTTTCATGTACTGGCGAACCATGTCCATGGTGAACTGGGAAAAGCTGTCCTGTCCACCAGAGAAGGCTATGTTTGAGTCCTGTGACTGCAGGAGAACGTGAAAATGAGAAGACAGTGAGGTTTAAGAAGGAAGAGAAACCAGAAGTTCAGTGAGGAACAAGTAAAAAATGATTTCAGTTACATAGCTGCATCAGCTGATTGTGCTGGCCAGTGTTTGGACTCTCACCTTAAAAGAATTGTGCAGCCCTGGTCCTGAAACCAATGCGCTGTGATTGGCTCCATCATCCTCTGACTCCTCGTGGTGGCGGGATTTTTTCTCCATGGTTCCCCGGCGATGTGCCTCCGATGGCAGAAGAGAGCGGAAGGAACGCTCTTCTATCTCGTCTTCTGTCATGGACTCGTCAAACTTGAGCGAGTACTCTGTGGCCACTGATGTACTGTCTCCTGACGGGGCAGAGACCAAAAGAAACTCGGGGTGAAGTTTTGGGTTTTTTTAGATAAAGATCAAAGGTGGGCATCATGATATCAACATGTGACTGTTGACACGGGGAAAAGAAAAAATGTAAATGCATGTCGAGTTTTTAACTTTTACCTTTTTCATCTATTACAGATGGAATACTGTCGCTGCAGATGGAGTCATTTGCTGCTGCTGCTAGAACTTCCTCTTCTATGGAGCTGCTGGCTGCTTCCTGTTTTGGCCTTTTCTCGAGTCCACTATTCCTCCATTTCCCCTCTATGGCCTCTTTTTTCATCTGCTTCTCATGGTTTGATAAGTGATGTGATGGGCTGTGTTGGCTGCTTAAGGCAGATCCACTGAGCGGAGGGACAAAAGGCATATTTTTGCGGGTTTGTTTCAATTCGTATTCCTCAAATATAATTAAAAAAGAAAAACCTGCAGACATGGCACTGCGTAAAGAGACTGACTGGTACCTGAGATTCGGTTTCCTGAATGATAGTGAGTCAGAATGACTCGCGCTCAGTGAAGACAGCGGCTCCTCTGACCTGGTCCTTCTGTTTGATGGTTCGCTCTGAAAGCTGTAAGAGAACAAGATTTTAAATTTAGGCCTTTGCGGTAAAAGCGTTGACAACACTTGGGTTGTTAACCCTAATGCATGTCCAACTAGTTGTTTAATATTATTAGAGATAGGCTTGGCTGTGAATATCTGAACAGTTCAAAGGTG